ACTATCTAGCACACCTGGATGTGAACCAGCGGTCTGCTTCACAAAAAGGATGCCCCTCTTAGCAGCCAAAACAGTTTTATACCACAACAAAAACAAGTATTAGTATGACTATCTTCTTCTGGATAGTGACACGGCGGTCCTGCCATTTCCCCCTGTGGATCTTCTTCTCCACTCCGTCCACGTCTCAGCTCGTCTGCATCTGCTACTTTCCTGGAAAACACCTCCCTAGCCAAACCTGGATTATTAATATTATCTAGCAATTCTTAGCCTGTTATTTTGTACCTATAATGAACAAAAATATAAACACAACACTTGTTTTTGCTTCCATTTTTCATGAGCTGAACTCAAAGACCTGAAACATTTTTTACACACACAAAGGACCCATAACTATCAAATATTGTTCACAAATCTGTTTAAATCTGTGTTAGTGAGCACTTCTCCTTTGCTGAGATTATCCATCCCTGCCCACAGGTGTGGCATGTCAAGGTGCTGATTAGACAGCATGAATATTGCACAGGTTTCCCTTAGACCGCCCACAATAAAAGGCCAATGTCGGAACTGGGTTGACGACCGGGCCGCACAATCTTCATATCTGGGCCTCATCTAGTGTCCAGAAATCCAGCTGTTACACACACATCTCAGGTTTTTACTTCTCTGGAGGAAACGCACCACCTGCCTCTCTTGAACAGCTGTCTCAACAAGATCACACACCTCCCATCAGTTTTAACCGGTTACAAATTCACTTATTCTGCAAGGAAAAAAGCGAGGAACAGAGAGAGCAGGAGGGAACCTAAGTTGAAACTGTGCACAGACGACTTTAAGATTTGTACATAAAGGCAATCTAACATTTGATCGCGTGATCAGTGACAAATGAATAAGTATGTAAACTGCCACTATGTTTACATGCTCCGCTTAACGTGGAAATGCGCGTGGTCGGTGCGCTCTGGTAGTTCATCACATAGCACCACACCTCTGGTCCCAAACATGTGTGTTTGTGTACTAAGTGTTTTTCATTAAAATGATTTTTCCCCCGTCACACTGTTTCCTGTTGTAACTTAAAAAGACGACTAAGAAATGATTTGAATCAGTTTTATTGAAAACATCACTGTAGAGCCATCTGCTACAGTCAGCTAAGCCCAATCCCTGTTGTTGGAAAGGCTGCAATGTCAGCACAAGGTCAAACACATCATTGCTACATAATGTCACTGCCAGTGAAGATTTACTGTGCAGACCTTCAGAGAATCTGTTACAGGGTTATCTGTGCCAGCTACTGCCTAAAACAACTTACGCAGAGTTCTTGAACATTCAATCATCAGTTTGTAGTATTTCTTCAATGCAATAGGATTAGTCCTTTTTAATTTTTTGTATCAGCATGGCTTTCCACACCTTATTACTGACAACAGTATTTCAGGATGAAAGCATGGACACACGATGGTATGAACTTTTAGTTAGCTGTTAGCTGGATTGTTTAATCAGTCTTTAAACCAGGCACTGGCTACAAGATGGGAAATTCTTGCACGTGTGAGACCAATTACATTCATGCCAAATCTCTTCAAAAAGCTCCCAGTAAATAAAAACAGTTGAAACACAAACGTCGACAAAAAGAGTCAAATGAAGCAAAAAGGAGCGGTCACACAAATGCTTAAAATTTACTAATCAAGGCTGATAAGTTGTCATTCACTACAATGTTTCTGCTAAACATGTAGAGCATTCCCATTTGTTACACTTCATCAAGGAGAAGTTACATATTGCACAAACATGAAACTAAATTCAAGGAATTTTCAGCAACGTTAGATGAAAGCTTGTGAGAAACAGAGAGCAAGGTCCTTTTGGTGTTACAGTATGCATTGTTAAGTTATCAATCTGTGAGTAACATATCCTGCTGAGTAGATATTTACTAGAATACATCATGTCCACAGTCAGGGCAAACAGCTGATTTCTCCCAAGTTTAAAGAATCTCCATCTGTGGATCGGTCACAGCGGAGATGTTCCCTTTCAGTGTATTTACGAACACTTTAGTGCAGTCGGTCAAATGCCCCAAACGCTGTAACGCTTTTGTTATGTGAGAAATGGAAAACTGACGCCCAGTTTGAATGGGTTTCACTGGATGAAATAATGACGTTTGCATTTAGTGGAAACTGAGGTAGATTGAATTAGGACAAATTATTACAACGAGGTGACACACAGGTGACTTTGCAGAATACAGAGGAATAATTGAGTTTCTGCTACTTGATTATCCAAGTAACTGATAAGTAGCTGGAGAGCTTTGGATATCACTAGCCTCTTTCAAAATATTAATGCCCCTATTCTCTCTTATTAAAATTAAGAGTTTTAGTGGATATTAATAACATTAAAAACTCCCATTCCCACCGTCTATGATACCAACCACAGTAGATGAACCACAAATGAAGGTAAATGAGTGCTAACAAAACAAGGACATACATGTTCAGGCTTGCAGATAAATTCTGGTTTCAAGTGATGTACATATTAACCTGATATGTAGTTTTTAGGGCATTGCAATGCTTTTACATTAAACCACCCTTTTGATGATAATACACAGGCATGTACAGCCAGTTCAGAGCAGTGCATCAGCTTATAAGCTACAGGCAGCACAGCGATTCTAGCACATTTTGAGCTTTCGAGTAGTTTGTTTTTGCAAAGTCGTCGTGGACAGTGAAGTGAAGCGGTGACGGCATTGAAATGTTCTGGTATTTAAAAAAAAACTGAAAGGTTTTACTATGCAATCAGTAGATATCATGACAGACGTGTATTAAATGAAAGCTAAAATCGAAATGAAATGTAAAACAGAAAAAACAAACACATTTCCTCCACATAATTTAAAATCAAATCAGAGGTTAAAACTCGTTTGGACCCAGTCATGTCTTCTCTGTACCATTTAGGTGCAGTGTTACAAGGAATTTCCCTCTAGGCTGATTAGAATGACAATGGCTTGTGCT